AGGAATTCCGCGTTGTTTCAATTTTCAATTTCTCAAACTTCCAAAGCTTATTGGGTCTCGTCAAATCAAATCCAAGGGAACCTGTTTCTCTGTTTTCTGTCTCCGTCTTCTTCAATTATCTTCTCTTGCTAGAAGCCTAGAACTATGTAGCTTATTAGACTAGCAAGATAATTTGCTTGAGCTTGAAGGTATTTAATGTTGAAAGGGTTATTACAATTCCATGTGCACTTCTTGCATTTCTTAATTTACCTGGGCTTTTCAGAAAACAGTCGGTCTGTGCCTGATAATTTAGGTATAGAAACCGACACCGACACTTGGTGCTAACTGCTAAACCCATCTCTTTCTTTCTCTCTCTATATATTTGAAAAATGTTATTCAGAAGATGAAAGTTGGAATCTTTTTAGGCTGCCTACTAATGCCATTCACCTTTATACCAGTGAGTTTGTGTTTTATCTTGCTAAAAAGTTTTGTTCTTCTTTGTTTCACGAGTTTCTCTTTTCCTTTGGGCAAGATTCTTGTCATCTTTCGTTCTCTGTAATGTGACTAATTTTTGCTTTTTACCTTTATTCTTACTTTGGATGAAAAGCTAGAACTTTTAGCCAACTTATTTGAGACCCTGATCTGTCTTTTGAGGAATTTGTTGAAATTGAGCATCTTTTGCTTCTTATTTTCTTATGGGCTTTGCCCGTTAGGAGTGTTAGAACAAGATCTGACATAATCATGGCGTAATTCTCACATCTGCAGCAAATTTCCCATTTTTTGGCTGGTCTCTGAGGTGGCCTTTTCATGCCATTCGCTTTGTATTGCATTTTTGGGGTGTTTCGAAATTATTATTATTGATTCAAGTCTTTCTGTGTTGAAATAATGAGTTGCCTAATTCATGGTGATTTTATCTGATTTTTACTGCGCATAATTTAATTAAAATTGCAATTTAAGGAGGGTTAAATTCTTCGTTCTGCTCGTAGTTTCGGTTTTAATTTATAAACAGAAAATGCACCTTACAACATATGTACAAACTGCTCTCCTTGACCTTATTCAACTTTCACATTCAATTTCCAACATTACCAAAATATTTCCACTAATATGTCATATGTATATGTATATATGTATTGCTTCTTACATTGTCTTCTTGAATTTTGTTTTCCCAGTTGAAGAAAATGCAACTCAGTCTTTAACTGATACTCAGTTGCACTATACAAGCAAAACATGCCACCAAAATCAAAGAAAGGATGGAAGTCGATCGTGCCCTTCCGTTTAACAACAAAATCGGCTAAACGTTTCTTCTTATTTTCAAAAGTGAAATCCGATGCTTGTGGGGTTAAATCCACTCCAGTTTACCTCAATGTTTATGACTTGACAACTATGAACGGTTATCTTTACTGGGCTGGCCTTGGTATATTTCACTCTGGGGTTGAAGGTAGTTTTTTTCCTTTTTTTTTTTTTCAGATATATCTACTGCTAATTTTTTCCGGTTCTTGAGTTTTATAGTTTATTCAACCAATAATTCAAGAAATGCTTCTCGGGTTTTAGCTTAACACAAAAGAACTCCAATTATATTTCAAAATTATGCAATACATACCCCTTGAAGTGTCGAAAACCATATCCTGAGGTTTGTATGTACCTATAACAAATACCTCTCTATATGTACTGCAATTTGTGGAAGTTACAGAATATCAAGGGATAGGATGTGATTCTTAAGGTAATTTTGATCTTTTTTGAAAATAGACTAAACTTGAGAAGTGGATAAGTAATTAGACTTTAAACACGAAATTAGTTTCTAAATTTGGAGGTCCAAACTTCTTTTCTTTCCATATTTTTTTTTTTCAAAAAATCATTGAAAGTTGACATTTCTAGTCAACTTGACAGTTCACGGGGTGGAATACGCATTTGGAGCTCACGACTTTCAATCGAGTGGTGTTTTCGAAGTCGAGCCTCGACATTGCCCTGGATTCCACTTCAGAAAATCCATATTTGTGGGGACCACATCAATGGATGCTTCTCAGGTGAGGGATTTTATGGAAAGGCAAGCCGCTAGGTATAATGGAGACACTTACCACCTAATCGTCAAAAACTGCAACCATTTTTGCAAAGACATTTGTTACAAATTGACCGGGAAGAGAATCCCAAAGTGGGTTAATCGACTCGCCAAATTAGGTAA